GTACCTCAATTACAGAACGAGAATTAGAATTTTGATAGAATCTCTTTTATCTTAAAGTTTTGCTCAATCTTTTAGGGGCTTAGGGTTATCTTGGAATCTTAATCTTCTTGGAGTCTTCTTAGAACCTTTCCCTAATTTTCTTTTTGGAATCTTAATCTTCTTGGAGTCTTCTTAGAACCTTTCCCTAATTTTCTTTTTGGAATCTTTTTAAATACAGATGGAGTACCAAGTAAAAAGGATTAGTGAGAACGTATAGTGGAAAGGGCCCTATTTGGGGAGAGAAACTCACAGAAAAAGAGAAGAGAGAGGAGGAGGGGTACAGATACAGACACAAGCTACGGAAAAAAGAGAAAATAACGAAATAACATTGGAGAAAGGCAACATGAAAATGATATTGTGGAATGTAGAAAGGATAGCTGGTAAAGACTCTCAATTTTGGGAGTTTGTAAGAGGATATGATGTCGTGGGAGTGGGGATGGTAAAATCATGGATAGAAGAAAAGAATTGGGATAAAATAAAGAATAGGATTCCGAATGCATACATATGGAAGAACCAATTAGGACAATATAAAGGGATAAGCAAAAGGAGGTATCAACAAACGAGAGTGATGATATACAACAGAGAAGGGATGAAGGACTTAAAAAATAATTGGGAGTAGTGGAATCCAGTCTAAAAGGGAAGATAAGAGGATCAAGAAATGAAAACACGCAAAGACGAAGGGAGATACAGTTATGGACAAGAGACACAATGGAGCTATATACTGGGAGACTAGACAAGGAGAAGAAATAGAGGAATGGAATAGGTAATATAAAGGATAATATCGAGAAAGCAATAACGTGGGAACAAATATCTGAATGGGAGGGGAGAGAAAAACATAGGGTGTACAGAAGAGAGAAATAGATAAAGTATTTTTGGTAGGTAATCAACAGAGGAAAAAAGAAAATACAGCAAGTGGGAGGAAAATCCAAGTAGAGGAATGGAAACAAGCAGGGGAAAGAGGAGACTATGGAAGAAGATTGGTAAAAAAGGAACTGGCAAAAAGGGGGGGGTAAGTGTTTTCGTTTTCATGAACTTAAAGGCAGCGTTAGACAGAGTGGGAAGGGAAAATTATGGAAGATGGGAAAATAGACAAGAAGTTGAAGGATATAGAATCAAGGAACTATATGGAGAGACAAGATTGCGGGTAAGAATAGAAGGGGGAGTCTTTAGTGTTTTGGAGATGTAAAGGAATTAGACAGTGATGGCCACTTAGCCCAACATTATTTATTCTCTACATAAGGGAAATGGAAAAAGTATTAAGACAAGCCCAATGTGTAGGGATCGAGGTAGAACAGATGAAGGAAATGATGGGAAAATGGAAATGGATTGGGACACGGAAGAAATGGAGTTAAATGTACAAAAGTCGAGGAAGATGAGATTTGGGAAGGGAGATGAAAGGAAATATTTAGGGTAAATGCGCAAAAAAGAGAACTAAGGAAAAATGGGGTTGTGGCGATGAGACAGGTGTGGGGAATAGGAGAGAGAGGTTTCAAAAACAATTTCAGAACAAGAAATATGCAATGGAGACAGGGATGCTCAACTACGAAGCGGAGATTTGGGGATGGAAGGAATGGGATAAACTGGAAGGAACACAAAGAAGGTATAATTATAATGAATGGGTATGGGCGCTAAACGAAAGGAACCCCAAATTGGAAAAAACAAAACTGCAGAAGGTAGGGATAGCGTCGGGACGCAAGACGGTAAGCTTGAAGGAAAGGAGTGAAAAAGAAAGCGAATTGGTAAAAGAATGCTTGACAACGACTTCAACGAGGAAGAACGCAAAAGGAATGTGAGAAAAGAAGAAAACATTATCAAAGAAATGGATACGGACGGTCTGGCGTCGAAAAGAGGAGAGTAGCAGGTGAAAAAAGGAAAAATGAGCTGACAAAAAGGAACATGGATGCACAGACACAACAACAGAGGGTGAGGATAAAGAGCGCACGAGAAAGTAGTAGTTACAACGATCTAATAGAGTGGTTACCAAAATATATTTATGGGAAGAAATAAAAAATATTAAAGTAATTGCGAGATTCAGATGAGGGATAGAGAAATCGGACTAAGAAGAAGAAAGAAAATGTAGAATATGTGGAGAGGAAGAAGGGAACACATAAGTATTAGGGTGAAAAGGACAAGGAGAAGCAGGAGTGCGGTGCAGCTGGAAGAGGTGAGAAGTGGATGAGGGGGGCACCAAAAAAACGAGAACAATCGTATTTTTGGTAATTAATTGTAAAAAGTTTTGCCATTTTGCCGTCTAATTAAGATTGATTTATTGATTACCGGTCGAGTTACCGGTCGTTACCTTGTAAAACCTTATTACAAAATGCACCAAAAACAAAATTTTATTTATTATTAAAGCGTTTTTTCAAAAATACACGCTAAATAGATCCTTCCAGGACCAAATAGCAGTAAATTTTCGGAAAACAACGATTATTAACTCAAAATGATGCCCCGCCAGAACCAAAAACTGTTTGACTGCGTTCTTTCAGTTCATTTGATTATATTACTGTGACTAATGTAGCAGGACCATTAAGGATGGGTCCAGGTAAAGCTGGAATTTCACCTTCCTTATCCTTGTAATAGCTTATGTGGGTATCCTAATTAATTTCTGCTGGAAATACTACGACAATAAAAATCTTCCAACACTCCGTTTGGTATGGAGTGCTGAGGGCAGATTTGGTAGGTTCTTCTACCGTAGGCCGCCGATCTGTGCTAAAAAAATTTGGCAGAACTGCTCAAATGAGCTGTATTTGAACCCCTAGGTACTCTTCCCGAAGGAATAGCAGTAGGTCAGATAAAGCTCGTATCCACCTTCCACTATATCCCTGTGGCAATAGTAATAGACAATATAATAGACAATTTAATCAGCAGAACTTTCTAAACGCATTTTTTACAAATATTCGATGCAGCTTATGAAACGGGTGTCGTTATTGGCATTTGCATAATGACGATGATAACATATTAACGGTTCCCAGCTGCGCACCCGTTGGCAATTAATATCGCGCGTCCGACAGATCGTCCAAGATATCAAACACGGCCGTTTTGTTCAATTAGTTCAAGGTATGAATCGCGGCCGCGAGTCTGTCACCTCACCTGGACCCCCTTAATACCTCACCTGCTCGCATTTTCTTTTAAAATTACTTTCGATATTAATTGATTTTTGTTCTCTTTTCTTTTTCATATCGATCCGTAATTGGCGACCGAACATCCGATGGACGATCGATACTGCAGTATGTAAGTACCAATTTACTAAAATATAGATTTCGACATCCGCAATTAGCCGCTAAACTTCTGTGCAAATTGACTTTTCAATACTTCTTTGTGTTAATAATGATGGAAACAAGCGGAAGTTCCTACGCCGTTTTAAGTGTTTGTCTTGTTTTCAGATTACTGGAACGACCTACACAATCCCTTACTCGCATTTTATCAGATTGTAACAGACGTTACTAACAGATTTTACTCTTGGCATGCTTTAAATTCTTGTTTAAATTTAGTACTCGTTCTCTTGACACTTAGACTTGAATACATAATTATATGTAGTATGCCAGACAATTGCCTCAATGGCTTCATTTGTAGGGTGAGATTCAATTGTTGGGGGAAGTTCTTAATTTTCGTCTATTTTAGGTTAATAAGAGAACGTGTTCCAATAAATCACATTTTTTGGCAGTCTTATTGAACAAAAAATGATTGTTGAACTTGAACCTTCTTATTGCGCTAACACTTCAAATGAGGGACAAAAAAAGTCAATTGGAATGTTTAGCAAAGTGATCGATCAATCTTCAGTTTAATGGTTTTCAGAACACTTTCTCGGCAAGACTTCAAAATCTGTTAAAACAGTACCTAAGCCAAGGGTCTTTAGTCCATTTGCATTTTTCATGCAACGAGTGCCCATGTGCGAGCCATAAAAATTGTAGATGGGGGTAGAACCTTGTTATCAAATTTTTATTTTGTGTCACAGTTACAGGTGTGGTACAGTTTTACGCCTGTAGCTAAATTGCCCCTTTTTTTTAGTAAGTTTTATGTTGCATCGGCTCACTTTCTGTTCTTGAATTAGCAGAGGTTCTATCATATTCTATTCATAAGGGAAGCCCCACCAGGCAGCACTTAGGCGCCCACTCTGCCTATCCTCTTTCTTTAGCAACTAGGTTCAGACCCCGTCCATCTCAATAAAGGATAGGACCCTGTTTAGACTAAGTGGCTTCACCCTTGCTGGTTCCAAATAACTGTCCCCGAGTAGCTGATGTCTGTCTTTGTTCAAAGTGTCACAGTGACAGACAACATGCTCCACAGTTTCATCTGCCCGATATAGGTGTACCCATGCCCGTTCCTCTTTCCTTTAGGGACCCGTCTGTAAACCGCACGAGCACCTCAGGTTTGAGGAACGGGCAATCTGAGTTCAACCATTGGTCCGCGTCCGAGAGAGTGACCTCATAACTCTTCGGTCTTAGTAAGACAACCGGGATCCCTTCTTGTAAGAAGCCAAGAGGGGATCGGATCTGAAGGTTTCCTTTTAGATCCGCCTGTGCCCAAGACTGCCTCAATCCTTCCACTTGTCCCAATCATTTAGCCGTATGGACGACTTCCAAGTATCTGCATTCCCTGCTAAGTATAAAGGCTCTAGTCCCAGAAGTGCTCCCATGACCAAAGTGGGCGTTGTTTTCATGACTACTTTCTGTAGGTCGCCCTGTACATGGCAGACCACCATACAACTGCATCGTACACTATTAATAAAAGCCAATATACCAGCCGAGGGTTCAACAATTGCGCGGAGTAACTTAATGCCTTGAAGATAAAATTTTTGATAGAGTGCTTTTGTATTATGATATGGTTTAATATTCTCCACATTTTAAAAATATTTGGAATTATACAGGGTGCGCCCACAAAGTAGGGCGCCCAAATGGTACATTTTTTTAAATAGAACCCCCTGTATTTGAATGCATTTTTGAATTCTACGTGTAATTGTACGTCTTTTTATTATATGGTTAATATCCGAAAAGCTAGTAGTTTTAAAGATAATTCGATTTTTAAGAAAAATTGGGCATTTGCAAGCGTCAGTATATATTGACAAAATTATTACTTAAATTTTGATTCCAGATTTTATATCTTATCCTGGGTTAAGTAAAAGTCAAATAAATACATCTACTATGAAACATTAAAAATATAGCTTACAGGGTGTCTTTTTTGGTAGGTCCAAAGTTACAAAACTTCATATTAAAAAATCTCACTGTTCTTAAATGGAACACCCTGTATATTTTTCTGTCATCATTTAGCTCCTCCAAAAACCTTCAACTTTTGATAATAATGTGCTACTTATACCTATCTCTGATAGTTTTCGAAATATCTTGGTTTTCCTGGGTTTTATATTCAAATCTTAAATAAGTTATATGTAATTTACATAATAGCGAGGGGGCCATGCAAAAAAAGGCAATTAAAATATTCAAAATTATTTAGAAAAAAAGTAGTTAGTGAAAATACAATTTTCAAATTCTAGAAAATAGGGTATTAGGTTTGGTTATGTGAGACATGGGTTGCTGCCTGTAATTGTACTATTGAATATGTTTTTCTCTTCCTTTCCAGTTATAATTTTTCTTCCTTTTTTTACAATTTTCAACCCTTTTCCCATTTTATCTTTGGTCTTTAACTTAACTGCTCTTCTTCTACTGGTTCTTTTTCGTTTGATTCTTTTTTGAAATTTTTATAATTTTTTTACGTCTTTATCTTCATGCTTCTTTCTCTGGGACAGATTTCAAATCCTCTTGAAATTTCAAGTTTGTCTCTTGTGCTTTGGCTCAATTTTCCTCTCTTGTTCCAGATACTGACTTCATCAGCTTCTCTACCCCCTCCTTGTAATTTAAATCGATCTTCTTTATTCTGTAGTTCTCGTTTTGATTTTTTTATTTGAATAGGGAATGGTTCCTTTTGGTAGATCTAACATTGTTTTTTCAAAATTACGTTTTTCTTTGTTATCTTTCTCATCCTTCCCGTCTCTGAAGCTTGAAATTAAATTCCCACGTCTGAAGAAAATCTTGTATTTTCTTTTTTACTCCTATTTCATTCGTAATTTCCGCTTCACTCCTCTGCCTCAGCTTCCGGTCCTACCGCGCCAATTGTACCTTTAATTGTTTTCTTATTCCAATGTACCACTATATTCTTCTCTCCCTTGGATTTCTTCTTCCACCTGGTTGTTGACTTCATGTCGACCTCGATCTTTTCTACCAATTGAATTTGATCCGCTCTAATTTCTAGTCTCACCCCTTTCATCCTCTTCATACTCCCGTCATCATTCTAGTCGCTGTATAAATCTTGGTTTTCCTGACTGAATTGTTCGTACAGCTTTCCGCAAACCTGACCTTAATCCCATAAAATTTTTTAAAACTTGTTCAGCATGTGATTCTGGTTTTTAGGATGATAATTCGATCCCACGTTGGACGCCAATTTGTAATGGTTGCCCTTACAAATGTTATTTTTCGGAGTTCTCATAAGAATTCTTCAAAACTACGATCACCGAACCAAAACACATTTTACCAACTTCTAATTGTAGAAAAATTGAAATACGAGAGTTTTAGGAAGCAAATTGTAGTTCATCTTTGCATTTCTAGCGATTTTTCCAGGTACCTGGAGAATAATTAAAATTCTTGGACAATCTCGAATTTCTCGACTCAAAAAGAGAAATAGTTTGTCCTTTGGAACCTAGCGTTTTTAAAAATTCATTTTGTCCTAAAATAGGTATATTTCATTTTGTTCCGTGGGAAATTCACCACAAAACATTAGATTATGTGATGATGTTCTCAGGGAAAAGAAGTTTTTCGGTTTTTGGAAAATTCTATCTTTTACAATTGTGGATTAGTTTTTCATTTTGGCTTAAAAATATGCGAAAAATTTCAAAAACTGACGTACATTGCGAGCGAACGATATTTTTAGTGGTTGCAATGTATTGCAAATTTACGATGAAATTTAAAGGCATATAATTGTCAATAGTAAAAACAGAATTAAACTTAGCTAGTCGTAAATTTCGCTTGAAACGTCTCATTAATGGAACAGCGGCAGTTTAAATTATACTTTCTATACTAAGTAAACTAATACTAATTTTGTTTTAGACCGTACTTCACTGGGGCGCCAAACACGGAAATGAAGACATCATTAAACTTTTCGCGGGGAAGTACAAGGCGGACGTTAATTCCAGAACCGTAAGAATTTTTTTTCATCTAATCGCCCCGCTTAACATTTGTCTGTTTTCGGTACTTCTCGGGGAATGGATCACAGAATGGGGTAAGTTGTCATTTTTTGGTTACTACGGTATGCAAGTCGCATAATTCCGGTAGCTGGTGCCGTGCCGTCATAAGGACCTAAGCAAGGATAGTCTGGTCATTGTGGCGGCGGCGCATGCCGGGCATTCCTTATACGGTTAGATATGACATCTCAGATTAACTTTAATATAGCAGATAACGGCTTATTTATGACGTTTACATTTGTAGACCTTTCGGTAACAGACTTATTAATGTTTATCGGTTTCGCTTTTCAAAATTTATGTGCCGAAAATCCGTCGAATAGAAAGGATGATGGGTAACGGTAATCCTTGACCTGTATATTAAGTGTGTTTTCCTTTTCATTCAGTTTACGAATGCACGTTTTACAATTTAATATTCATCAAGCTGGATCCAAACTATGACCAAAGTAAGTACCTGTAGGTGATGATTTTGGACGCCAGGTTCCTACTTTACTTAGCTCGAATAGCAGTAAACAAATTTTTACCTACCAATAATTGCTTGATATTGGTTAATATCATTCGTACAGGTTTTTAAAATAAAGTGACTGTCATTTTTCATGATCTTCGAAAAGCAGGCTAATTTTCACACGAATTAAAAATTTACAATTTGATGAGTTCGATTATTTATTTTAGTCCATATATTTTTTACAAAAAAATTAGTTACCGGTTCAAACCGGGTTTAAACAACTGAATTTTTCCACGGATGAAATGACGGGGTTTGAAAGGGGTGAAAACTGGTATTTTGCAATTTGTGGCAAAACTATTAATTTTAGGCGAAAATATTCACTTATAATAATTGCACAAGAGGTTTGTATTTTATCGAGGAAATTTGGGTTGTTAAGGTAATGAAAATCTGTTGCCTAGCAATTAAACTAGAAAAACTAATAAAAATGCGACACCGAAGATGGTGGAGCCGTGGAGCAATTGCTAAAAGGAAACTGTGAGTTACACCAAGATCAATATTCGAAAGAACAATCTCACTATTATAATTCTAGGACCAGAAAAATTCTATACTTTATGCATATTTTTTCGAGAAAACTCAAAAAATTTCAAATCCAAACCTAATGCTCTCGTTACAAAGTAGCCGCTTTCGTAAGATCGAAGTTGGGTAAAAATAACACTAGCAATTGGTTTTGAGTTTTGATAATAAAAAAATCGAATAAGTAATAAGAGCCAAAATCGTGTGTTTGACTGTTAGCTGGAAAAAGGTTCAATTTGTGATATCCACATGAGATTTTTTCTTCTTTCTTTATGTACCAAATTTTAACCAGGAGACATTCTCAGACGTGATTACGTAACTCGTGAGTCGTGATGACGTAAATGTTGGAGCGGCTGCTCGGATTCTCGTGATGTAAACCGGCAATTAAATTAATAGAAGTTTTTCTCAAAATTTGTTCATGATCTCTATCAGCAGAAAGACACGAGAAAAAATCTCATGCTTGTTCTTAATAATTAGTTTGCAAGTTAATAATGTGATTGGAAAGGGGTTGTAGACTCGGCTGTCTCGTATACATCCCATTTCACCTTGCCGATTTGTTTCATAAATTAATATTGCATCAAGATACAGCATATTGGCGTTTGTTGTGTTAGAAATATACTTAAAACAAAATATTGGTGTAATATCAAATATAGAAAAACAACAGGGAATGCAAATATTTGATGGTTCAGGAAGAACAGATAAAAATTATTAATTAAATTTGAACATTAATCTGTGTTTGAAGTCAAAATTTCTTGTTTTAATTTGAGAAAAACTACCCAAGAAAATCACAGCGGGAAGCCACCAAAAAAGCTCCTGACGGCTTTGATAACGCTAAGTAAACCCGTTAAAACGACGAGGGTGACGGTGGCGGCTAGAACTGATTACTCCAAGCATTACTGCGCGTGATGAGCTTAAGCTGTAAAGGTACCAAGAGAAATGAATAGGCATAGGGGTGGCTAGAAGGCTCTTATAGCGCACCGAATCGCATGGTGCTGTCCTTTGCAACTTTTCTTGTCATCAGTCTGTCCCATCTACAGCAATCAGAACCTTTGAAGGGTAATTGTGCCCTTTTTAACACCCTCTCTTATCTTAGATGTTACATTTCACAAATCAAACTCAATTTTTCAGGGCTACACACCTTTACACATGGCCGTTCAATTTGGACATAGCAAAGTGTTCAATCTCCTAGTGGAAGTCTACCGTAAGTGCCGGCATTAATCGACCGAGCGTCAATATTCGCCATATTTCAGATGCCGATCCCGACGTGAGAGATTTCAGCGGACGAATGCCGGAACAATATAAGATATCTGAAACGCAAAACTCCAACAAAGACACTTACAGTGAGTACCGTACTCCGGGTAAACCTGGTGAATACCGTATTCCGGGTAAACACACAAAGCATCAAAGTTTCCTTCGCAAAAATTTCAATCCTAGTCAACGTCGGGCCAAATCCACGCACGAAGTAGCCGTAGAGACAACAACTAATCACACTACCTCTCACGCTTGAAATGGTTCTTAGTGCATGATGGATTTTTTTGCATGTTACCTTTTAGTTACTTGAATTGTAGAAAGTGCATGAGTTTTGTTGTAATTTGCATGAATAAAGCGCTTCGGTTACTATCTATTTTATTTTAATTGCAGAAATCAAATCCAGGAAGAAGTTGGCAGGTAAAGACTCAATTTGCTGCTAGTTTTTGATTGTAAGTGTCATTTTAGATAAGGACTTGAGATTTCTGCGAATTGGCTCGCTAAATGTAAGGGTGAAGAGGACTACTGAGGCTTTTAGCAACTTTCTTGGTGTCGGTGGTGGCTCATCAATCAATCCCACCGATCTATCAGGTAAAGTGTATAAGAGCTGGGGATCTGCTGATAATTTATCACAGGTTTGTCTGATTCTGCTTGGTGCCATGTTATGCGTTTGTTTTAGGATAATCTCATGCCAGCCCCCAAAAATTACGCTGGAAAGCGGAAGATGAAGAAGTCTGAAAGCACCGGCGTGTGTAGTACGCCAGGTACGCCGAGTCAAGTACCACGTGGGCTACGGTCTAGGAATTCGTTACAAGATTCTGACTCTGATACGGCAGCTGGCTTTGACTCTCAATGGAAAAACTAAAATAATTGAAATTGTTGCAGCTTGTACTTAAAAATTGAGTATTTTTCATTACATTCCATTTTTGGTTTATTTATTCAAAGACAAGATAATTTCCAGGGGAAGCCTGCATATGATTAAAAATTCTCAAAGAGAGAATTGCATTCGAGATGGCTTTGACAAAATTTTATTTTCTGAATAAATCTTTGAAAACTCAGGTGTACTTTCTTTACAAAGTTCTGATTTTTATAGGTCACCAGCTTTAGCGCCCAATAAAAAACTAAAATAATCATTTTGCCACTGTGTATTTATTTTGATTATACCCTTTTTGCCTCATTTAATCAAAGGTAAGACAACGTTCATTCCGTAAGAGAATTAATTCTAGTGCCAGTACATTTAAATTTTGCCCCTTGTTTTCAGGGGAAACCTGTAGCTGATTGTACATTTCTGTCAATTACTTGCCATTGTAGCTGCTATTACATTAGAGATGGCATTGGTAGGGTCAATTTTAAATTTACGTACGACCCTCCAGACCTAATTTTATAATTTTCATCATATTGGTACTTTACCTACAATAACATGAAGGCAATTATTAATTTAGTTTAGACAATAAACTATAAGTTGCATCGATTGTGGTGTACAATTGTCATGCACAAATAAGCTCGACTTTTGAGCGAATTCGATCAGTACATTACCTGCCCTTACTTAAGCTATCCACCAGTAGATGCCACAACATGTATCATTTAGATTGAGCTTTACACTTTTTCTCTAGGATTTTCCTCTCCATTTAAGGAATTAAAAAGTTAAAGGAGCAACAAGTACCTATACTGCCTATTCAATTGTTACTTATTCTTGCAAGCAGTACTTACCGTTATTTAGCATCCCTTGATAGTGGTTTACATTCTTTCATAAGTCTAAAATTCCTTAGTTCGCGTATGTGTAATCTTTATTAATCTGTAGCTATGTGTTTTAAAACAATGGGGGAGAAAAGTATAAAAATGCAAGAACATATACATCCAATATGAAACCGCACAATTCCAACTATTTTTACATAATATTAATAATACCTACATTCATTTAGAGGTACCTACTCATTCACAATACATGACTATAAATAAGCACTCTACTGTCAACACAAAAAATGTGCTATAAGGTACTCAAATCCTCACCTCAAGTTTTCGCCAAGTTCCTGTTAAATCTTCGAGTTTACGTCTGCTTCTTTCCCTCAATTTTTTTCAGGCTGATCTCGAGTTCTCTCGAAGATTTATCTCAAGTCCCTCAAAAGCTCTCCCCATGTTACTTCTTAATTACTCTACAGTTCCTCTAAAACTCACTTCGTGTTTCTCATAAGTTTCGATCAAGGTTCCAACAAATTTTGCTAAAAACTTCTACCCTCTAACTCCAATGAAACTCTTCTGTTTAAGTTCCTAATCCTCATTAATTTCCTAATCCTCATTAAGTTCAAGTCAAGTTCATTCCTAGTATTTCAGACGTATCTACTTCTCCCCAGTGAAGATAATCCAGATTGCTATTGTTTTAAACTGTAATTGCATTTAATCAGTACCACTGTCATAATAAAATGTTTGAATTTAACGCGCTCTAATAAACTTTCACGAAGTCCATCGACTCCGGAATTAGGGTTGTTAATTTTGGTGGTGGTGCAATGGTTCAAAATAATCGTTTTCGACCAACGTGTTCTGTTCGTTGCGGCCCTTTGCGCCATCGTAGGTACCCGGCTAGTGCCCGAGTACCCGCGCTTTCCAACGAAATTGATTCAGTCAAGTAAATCCTGGGTTGGTGAACCTAAGTTGTTTAAATATATGTCTTTTAAATCATGTCAGAGTCATCTGCTGGGCTCAGTGCAATTCCAATCTCAAAAATTACCAATGTCATTAAAGGCCGAAAAAACTGCCTCAACAAGAAGTTTTGTTACTGTTATGGTTCGTTGCTCTGATTTTTGCTCCTCGCTAAAGTAAAAATTTATTCATGTTTTATTTGCAATAGGGGTACATAAGGTAACTCCGCTGCACTAAGGGCCGCATTATTTGTTGAAAAGGACATTTTTCATAAAGGTCTAGCTATATTTAACAGGACTGATTTTTTTTACTCGTTTGGTTGTAGATTGAACATTTGAAGTGGAGAGGCAACCATTGACAAAGAGACAGTTCTCTGTGCCTTTGTATGTTGGTAATTCCCACTTATATCCAAATAATAATTCCTATTTCGGGAAGTAAAATTTTGCTCTCACACGGAACAAAACTTTCCCATTTCTTCTTTCTTGGACCTTGTATCGTCTATGACTCTGAAATTCGCAACTATTTCTTAAGAGGCGATTGCGGGGGTATTGTAAATTTATGGAGTGCTCCCTACTTAGATGCCACAGACCGCTTCCTTCACAAAAAGATTCTGAACACTACGAGATTTGGTGGTTTTACGATCTGAAAATTCTTGATCGAACCACAAAAGTGGTGATTAGGGTCAAACTGACTTTATGAAATTTTTGAAATAAACTGAACCTTCCGCAGTATTCTAAATTGCAATTTTTCCAATTACAATTTTACAAAAAAAATAGCATAGGTACATTGCATTTTTATTCTTCCGCACTATTTTATTTTTGTTCAGATATCAAATAGTAATAGTCTTTTCACTCACACGTCCTTGTAAATGTGGAATTTTGATGCTGGGTATTGGGAAATGGGGTATCAAACGACGTAGATTTTTATGTATAGATTTCGGAATCCGACGTGAAACGAATATGATACCATTGAATTTATAAAAATTCAATGATGATACTATATTCTTTCGATAGATCATGAAAAAATATGTTGGTATGCAAATAACCGATTTTCGTAAAACAGCCTGTATAATTTGCAAATATTTGCTGTGCCTTCTGTTCCTGCTAATGTTCACATCTTCCATTTTTCTAATAAGATGCCACTTTTCATTATCGACGCCATGTATTTATGAGTTCGTCGCTTAGATTCGTGCAGTTTTTTCCCACGGATTTCATGTTTCAGATACCCTCCCCCTATCCTCGCAAATCCCATCATTTTGGTCTCCCTCTTCTTCCTTATTAGGTCGATCTCGACGTCGTGTGTCCTGCTCTATCTTTAATTGTATGTTCTGCTGCTACTATAATTGCTCCATTTTTGCATGTTTTCTTTTAAAATGTCCTATCCATAAATCTTTGAATTTTTTAAAATCTTTTCAATCTTCTTGAATCAAGATTGAATTTTTTTATTGTTAAGACAAGGTGTTCTCTTTAAAAAATGAGGTTACGTCCGATAACTTTTTTACCAAACCTCGTATAGCTATTTTGTTACTGTTCTTATTTCTTTATTTATTACTAATACCAATTCCTATTCTAACCTATTCAAACAATGCTGCGATTAAAAAGTGGAACAGATTTGGAAGCATACCCTAAATTACGCGCGTTTGTGAAAGCTTCAACCAAAGGATAGGTACAAGCCAAAAAAATCTTCTGCATTTACAGAAAGTACAATTCTACTCTTCTGCAATTTCCAAACAGACCAAAAATGGCAATGGTCTACAATCATATTAGTTTAATGACACACCTTTGAAACATTGAAATCGTACCTTCGGTTACGTGACGCTAGCAGGTATCTTGAAATTAATAAAAATGCTAGAGTGCACCTTAATTAAGCGTTTTCAACACAAATTTGCCGAAGAATCCCTAAATTTTACACAATCTTAATTAAAAGTTCACTTTCGTTTCAATTTTGATGATTACGCTTCCATTTTTTTGTTTTTCTGGAAAAAGTGGAATTGTTTGGAGCAACTAGTAGGTATACTTTGCCATTTTGTGCATTTCCTAGTTTTGTTAAGGCGAAGATAAAAGTAGGTACAATTTAACTGGTTTTCCATTGCGTCTAGTCAACTACAAAATAGCGTTTGTAAATATGATCGTTTTTGCTATAACACTCACTTCGTGTTAAAACAATCACTTCTCCATAATCGTTTACATTAAAAACCAATGTTTTAATATACCTACTATTATAAAACTGAGATGAATTGAGCGAAGAAAACCATAAAAGGACCAATTGGGAAAATAGTCACCATTTTAAATATTGGTGCGATGCGTGGTTTCCTGGCGTCTGAAATTGCATGTTCTAAATGCAGGTATACCTACTACATTTTTTATTAAACAAAACGATACAGACATTAAGTTGAAGTGTACAGACCGACACTGAAGCAATTCATAATTGGTTCAAGAGGTTGTAGTCTGCACGTGCTACAGAAAATTGCAAACAAGAGCTCGCACCTTGCGTATATATACCCATAAAAATGTCATTCTCGTAAACGCCACGTTTTTTAAACATATCTAAAAGTAAAAGATGATTTAAGAGGTTCTAGAATTCGTGCTTGCAGTCGTAAAAAATTTTTCTTTCGTCGGTTTAATCAAAATGCGGATGTCTGTAACCCTCTTGTAACTCTCTCTGTAACTGACTTGTTCATTTCGAAAAACCTATGGTTAAAATCGACCTAATCTCTGGTCCCAAATAATTTAAATCATTCTTGTACGTTTTTACTTACTTATTGTTTTTATTTTATTTATTTTAAGATAAAAGAAGCTCTTATTATAAAATATAGGTGAATATTGAAGGGTTTATATTGAAATGAAAGAATGAAGTTAGCTCCTTTTCTCACCAAACCTATAAGACCCTTGTGACCCAAATCAGAGCTGTTAAAATCCTTGAGGTATCATGCATTATTCGTTTTGAAAATGCTGCCTAATCGATAACATTTTGAGGACCCCATCTCTTTGCTCTCTGCATGTGCACCGGAGCACACCTTTTAGTTAAACGATAGCAAAAAAAAATATTGAAAAGCTCTAGTCTAGATTTCAACGCCAAATTTAAAATTACGAGACCACAACTGCCAATGATAAAAGATTTTCTAAATTTTTAGTGCACAAAATAAAAAGTGCTCGATTCGTTATCGAAATTAAAAACAAAATCCAAATTAATAGCCCTAGCAAGTCTTCAACGACTTGCCCAATTCGATACATAGTTTCAAATAGTCGAATTATTTTTATTCAATTGAAAAAGATGAAAGAAGTATTTCTCCATCAGCAAAACTGATAATATGGAAACCGTTCAATGAATCTTTAGGGAATCCAAACAGTGTATTTTTGAAAGATATCTGCAGAAGAATTTGAATAGTAGGTATCCAGAGAACCTTCATGTAAGTAGACAA